TTTTCTAGAAATTCGATTCAAATTTTATTAAAAATCAATTGAAATTCTGCGATGACTTTTATTATTTTTTAAAACAATTAAATTCCTAAAAAGAATTTTATTATTTATACAAAACTAATCGAATCTCTGTAAACATTTTATTATTTATGAAAATATAATTAAATTTTTGCGTAAAATTTTATTAAAATGTTTTTAAAAATTGAATTCTTTTGGAAAATTTTATTTAAAATAGTATAGATATTGAAAATCATGGAATAAGAGCAAAAAAAATTTTTTTTTTTGAAAATAATTGAAATTTTGTCAAGAATTGTATTAAAATTTTTAAAAATAATTGAATTTCTACAATCAATTATTTTTGTCTTGGTAAAATTGCAATTATATTCAAAAATTTTTCTAAGTTTAATGATTTTCAATATATCTACTATTTTAAAAAAAAAATTCCTAAAAGAAATTTCTTCGCAATAATTCAATTATTTTCTTAAAGAATACATTTTTTTTAGCAATTCAATTATTTTTATAAATAATAAAAATCATCGGGGAAATGTCAATTATTTTTAATATATAAAATAATTTAAATCAAATTTCTCGAAAAATGTAAGTATTTTTAAAAATTTGTTTATAAAATTCTTTATAAGAATAATATTGCAGGTGTACAATTTTCTATATTTTTAGCAGAGGACAATTTTAAGTTTAAAGCAAGATAAAATTATGTATTAAAAAAAATTTTTTCAATATCAACAAACGTTGGATTGTATTAAAATTCACATTAAAAAATAAACAGAAACCGTCACGAAGTATTTATATAGTATCGTGTCATAATTATCTTATTTTTCCTATAATTTTCAAGTTTCATCGTCTTCGAGAGCAATATTTGAAAAATAGACAAAAAATAAATAAAAGAATTGAAATAAAATAATTTTCGTGTTTTTTTTATTTTAATTGCCATTAGCATTATTGCTGAGGTTTATTGTGAACAAGGTTTTTGGACGGTAATAATATTATTGCATCGTTAGAAAAAACTTTTGTCATTTTAATTAACAATAAATTTTTCTTTCTTAATATTATTTATTAAAATAATTCACAAACTTAATTGTCGAATCATAAATGAACGATATTTACAGTAAATTTGACCATATAAGTGACAAAATTTTAATTCACATTCAATTGTAAATGTAAATAGCATATGAATTTAATATTTTTTTTTCATTTTTTTTTTAAGTCAAATTTTGTCAATAAACAACTTATATTAATCAATATAATTATTTACATTTAAAAATCTAATTTAAATAAAATCACACGAAAGAATTTAATTATTTTCAAAAAATTCCATTAAATTCAATTTCAACAAGAATTTAAAATTCTCCAAAAATAATTCAATTATTCTCAAAATATTTGTAAAAAAATTCTATATAAAAATTCAATTACTTTCAATGCAATTTTTATATATAATTATATTCTTTAAAAAAATTGAAAGAATTCAATTAATTTTCAAAAAATAATAAAATTCTTGTGATGAATAATTCAATTATTTTGAATATATAACTTTAATTTTAATAAAATTCTTTAAAGAAATTCAATTATTTTCGTAATAACTTTAATTGAATTTCTCGTAAAAAATTTCATTATTTTAAATTTTTATATTATTTATTTTTATTTTAGTTTTATATTTCTTAAAATTTTTAATAAATTCTTCGAAACATTTCAATTATTTTTATAAACAGTAAAATTTTTCGCAATATTTCAATTTTAATTCAATTTTTTATATATAGTAGAATCCTTTGCAGAAATTCAATTCTTTTCAAAACAAATTTTCAACAGAATTCTATGGAAAGAATTTAATTTTTCAAATATTAACATAAAATTAATTTATTTTCAAAAATTTTAATAAATTCTTCGGAACAATATTCAATTTTATTATTTTTATAAATAATAAAATTCTTCGCAAGAATTCAATTATTTGCAAAATAAAATTAAAATAAAATTCTTCTTCATAAAATTCAATTGCTTTCAAAATATTCAATTAAAAATTATTAAGGAAACACCCATTAGTTTAAAAAAAATTCAAAGAAATTCTTCAAAAGAATTTAATTAAGATTTTTTGCAATTTGAATAAAATTCTTCGCGAGAATATCAGTTATTTTTCTAAGTAATAAAATTCTTTGAAAGAATTCTATTATTATCAAAATTTTTTTGATAAAATTCTATGCAACAATTTCGATGATTTTCAATACATTAAATTTTAAAATTGAAAATATTTGAAAAGAAAAATTATAAAAAAAAGTTACGAAACAAAAAAGCAAACAACTAACTTTGAAGTGCGAACAGATTACCGGAACATGTACTTTATTATTATTAATGTTATAATTATTTTTATTTTATAAGTAATTCAATGTTGTAATGACAAATAGAAATCATCAGAATTTTCCTCATTTTTTTTTTTTTTTTTTTCATTAAAAGTCTAAAATTTTGTTTTGTCAAATTGAAATTATGCAGATTTTTGTTCTTTACTTCTAAGGAAAATTAGAAAATTGTTCGACAACTGTGATAATAAATAAAAAAAAATTTATTTTTTATTTAAAAAAAAAAAAAAAAAAAAAATTAAAAAAAAAATAAAAATAAAAAAAATTTAAAAAAAAAATTTTTTTAAAAATAAAAAAAAAATTATTATTATTATTATTATTATTATTATTATTATTATTATTATTAAAAATAAAATTTATTTTTTTATTTTTTTATTTTTTATTTTTTTTTTATTTTTATTTTATTTTATTTATTTATTTTTTTTTTTTTATTTTTGTGAAATAGAAAATTTATTTATTTTGCATTATTTTTGTTTGTAAATTACAATTATTTTAACAAAATTATTATTTCCTTTTAGAAAAAAGAAGTAAAATATTTGCACAATTTCTGTTCTTATTTTTGGAACAGGATTTTTCACAGAAATTAAGACATTCAAAAATTTCAAATTTAAACTTTTTTTTTTTTTTTTTATTAAACTTCGACTTGGAGCAATCGTTATCATCATGTTTTCTATAATAAATTAAAGATGACCAAGTAATAAAATCCATTGTTTTCTATTATAAGAATATTGTTACTGTAACTACATCAAAATTATTTTCATCATTTTAATTCAATTATTATTTTCTAAAATTTAAAATTATTTTTGGTGAAATTTTTATTATTTATAAAAATAAATAATTGTTTGGATACAATTTTATTAAATTTCTTTTTTTTTTGAAATAATTAAATTCTTTTTGGGAAATTTTATTGAAAATAATTGAAATTAGAAAATTTTTTGAAAATAATTGCAAAGAATTTTTTTTTGCTCTTTATAAAAATAATTGAATTTTTTTTTCAAATTTTGAACATAGTTGAATTTTATAAAAAGAATGTTATTTATTTTTTTATATTTGAATTTCTGCAAATGTTTGTAATTTTTCCAAAATTGAATTTTTTTTTATAGTGCTTTCAACAAAACTTTAAATTAGAAAATTTTTAAATTCTATTATTTTTAAAATTGCTAATTTTATTTTTTAAAAAAGGCATGAATTTTAATGAAATATTACCAAAAGAATTTAATTATTTAAAAAAATTTTTTAATAAAATTGTAAGCAAACATTTAATTATTTTTGTAAATATTAATAATTTAACAGAAATTCAATTATTTATTATTATTTTATAAATTTCTTCTCAATAATTCAATTATTTTCTTAAATAATAAATTATTTTTGAAATTCCTTTAAAAAATTGTATTGGGACGCATGATTATTCCCCAAATGTTATTTTTCCGAAATGTCATTTTACCGAACTGCACTTTTGCGAATAGTCATTTTTGCGAAAAGCCATTTTTGCGAAATGTCATTTTTACGAATAGTCATTTTTGCGAAAAGCCATTTTCGCGAATTGTCATTTTTGCGAAAAATACAATAGTAAACTTGTAGGTATATATAGATTCACTATTGTATTTTTCGCAAAAATGACAATTCGCAAAAAAGACTTTTCGGAAAAGTGACAATTCGTAAAAATGGCGATTCGCAAAAGTGACAATTAGCATAAATGACATTTCTCAAAAATGAAATTTCGTAAAAATGATTTTTCGCAAAAATGACATTTCGTAAAAATGTCGATTCGCAAAAGTGACAATTCGTAAAAATGGCGATTCGTAAAAATGTCAATTCGCAAAAGTGACAATTCGTAAAAATGGCGATTCGCAAAAATGACAATTCGCAAAAATGAAAATTCGTAAAAATGATTTTTCGCAAAAATGACATTTCGTAAAAATGTCGATTCGCAAAAGTGACAATTCGTAAAAATGGCGATTCGTAAAAATGTCAATTCGCAAAAGTGACAATTCGTAAAAATGTCAATTCGCAAAAGTGACAATTCGTAAAAATGGCGATTCGCAAAAATGTCAATTCGTAAAAATGGCGATTCGCAAAAATGACAATTCGCAAAAATGAAAATTCGTAAAAATGATTTTTCGCAAAAATTACTATTCGCAAAAATGGCTTTTCGCAAAAATGACTATTCGTAAAAATGACATTTCGCAAAAATGGCTTTTCGCAAAAATGACTATTCGCAAAAGTGCAGTTCGGTAAAATGACATTTCGGAAAAATGACATTTGGGGAATAATCATACGTCCCAATTGTATTATTTATAAAAATAATTGAATTCATGTGGAATTTTTATTATTTATGAAAATAGTATTGATTGAAATTAGAAAAATTTTTCAAAATAATATTGAAATGATGATTTTTTTTTTATTAGTTTTGTTAATAGTTCTTGGATCTTTTGTGCGATCTTGTCATATTTTTGTGGCTCTGTATGGCTTTTATGACACTTAGCGAGTCACAAAAGATCATGAAATTATTTTCAGTTGAGTTTATGTTTAATAGATCATTTTTTTTTCGCAGCAGCAGTGCCTTTACTTGCCTTATTGCTGATTGTAACTGCAGTGACTAAAGGTTTAAGTTGAGCAAAAAGAAAAAGAAACACGTCATTTTTCAATTGTACATGTTTATTGAGGTTTTGACAAAAAAAATGGCTTTACAAATGTGTTATAAAATAAAACCAATTTATAACAATTCCATTAGGTGGTCATATCATTAAATTAAACAATAATTGTTCTCAACGTTTGCTTCATTTGATTCCTGGAATTAAATTTTAGAATAAGTTTTAAAAATATTTCTTAGATGTATGTGAAAACATGAAAAAAAATATAGAAACATTCAGATTTTGATTTTATATCAAACTTTAGAAAGAATGTCGTGGCTTTATTTATATCATTTATAGCGACACATGAAACAAAATTTAATATTTTTTCCTTGAAAACGACAGTTTAATTTTTTTAAGAGGAATACTTAAAAAAACAGTTACTTAACTACCCACGAATGAGGAGTAATCACTGAATGAAAATTAAATTTTAAAAACACTTTTTTTGTAGGTAAAATCAATTTTCTTAGCTTTTCTATATTTATGCGAAATAATAGTCTCAATAAAACGAATAATGTGAGAAGAAAGTTTTAAATTATATTTGGAAACCTTTTTTGCTTATCTTATGTTACACTTACAATTATCATTTCTCTTTTTTTCAAAAAGAGAAGGAACAAAATAAAATTTCATGAGAAATATTTTTGGAAAATAATCCAAATAATGATAGTCCATTTCAATTAGGTACTTACTTCGAATATTTTACTTAGTTTTTGAAAAAGAAAAAAATAATATAAAATCTTTAAATCAAATGCTAAATTTTTGAGTTATAATTTAGAAAGTTAATATAATTAAGTAAAACATGTGATAGAGTTTATTCTAAAAAAAAAATTAAATTCATATGCTATTTACATTTACAATTGAATGTGAATTAAAATTTTGTCAATTATATGGTCAAATTTACTGTAAATATTGTTCACTTATGATTCGACAATTAAGTTTGTGAATTATTTTAATAAATAATATTAAGAAAGAAAAATTTATTGTTAATTAAAATGACAAAAGTTTTTTCTAACGTTGCAATAATATTATTACCTCTAGCCAAGAATCGGATTCACAATAAACCTCAGCAATAATGCTAATGGCAATTAAAATAAAAAAAACACGAAAATTATTCATTTTTATTTTGAACCAAGTTTCAATAATTCTTGCACAATGAAAAAGTTTGGAAAATTTCTTCTCTAAATATACCACTGAGTTTTATGTCCTACTTTAATATATAACTGTAAAATGTAAAATGAAAATGTCATTAAAGTTATGTTTCGATTCTTTTATTTATTTTTTTGCCTGCTTTTCAAATATTGCTCTCGAAGACGATAAAAGTTGAAAATTATAGGAAAAATAAGATAATTATGACACGATAATATATAAATAACTACTTCGTGACAGTTTCTGTTTATTTTTTAATGTGAATTTTAATACAATCCAACGTTTGTTGATATTGAAAACAAATTTTTTTAATACATAATTTTATCTTGCTTTAAACTTAAAATTGTCCTCTGCTAAAAATATAGAAAATTGTACACCTGCAATATTCGTAATCGGCGACTCTGAAAATACCCAAGTATTCAGTTTCAAGTCAATCTATGATCAATTTTTTATTTCGTTGTCCGCCATATTAGATCCGCTATTTTGAATTTTGGAAAACTAATGTACCAAAGTTCATAAAAATCCATTAAAAAATTTTTCAACAGTGAACAGCCAAGGGCTTAATTTGTTAATAACTTTCGAAATTTTGCAGAACTCTTGTTCTTTTGGTAGAGAACTGTAGAACTCTTTATTCTCTTTCAGAATATGAGGACAAAACTCTTTTTTGCATAGATAATAGTGCTATGCAAAGTTAACACTAAGTTTTTTCATTGTCGCTTTTTTTGTTATCTATCATCAGAACTATTTAAATAATAATCGTTATAGAACTCTAGAACTATTGCTAAAGTGCCCAGAACTTTTGTTAAAATTTTGATTTTTTTTAAAAAGTAGTGCCAACTTTACATGACTGAGTGCTTGAACTCATTCAATTGTTATTCAAAAACAAATTCATTTCAAACCTTAAAGTCTTGTAGTTCTGTAGTTTTTAGGTTTTGAAAAAATTCTTATTAGGGTTTTTTTATCAAACACTATTGGGGGTTCACAAAACTCTGATCAGAACTTTTAAATAAATAATTAATAAAAAAAAATTTTTATTTCGTTAATCTGCGAACACTATTTGAGCACTAAATTATAGGCTATTGATAAATATTTTGTCGTTGTTTTCGACGCGTCTGTCGCAATGGTGCGGTTAGCGGATTACTCACTCAATTGAATAATTTTTTTTTTTTTAAATAAATAATTAATCAACAAATTTTTTATTTTGTTAATCTTTGAGCACTAATTGAGCACTAAATAATGGTATAATTTAAATTCATTTTTATAAAAGTGGTTCGGCCAGCTTCACAGACCTGAAAATCATTGAACTTAGAAAAATTTTTGAATATAATTGCAATTTTACCAAGACAAATGATTGATTGAAGAAATTCAATTATTTTTAAAAATTTTAATACAATTCTTGACAAAATTTCAATTATTTTCAAAAAAAAATTTTTGCTCTTATTCCATGATTTTCAATATCTACTATTTTAAATAAAATTTTCCAAAAGAATTCAATTTTTAAAATAATTTTAATAAAATTCTACGCAAAAATTTAATTATTTTCATAAATAATAAAATGTTAACAGAGATTCGATTATTTTTGTATAAATAATAAAATTCTTTTTAGGAATTTAATTATTTTAAAAAATAATAAAAGTCATCGCAGACTTTCAATTATTTTTAATAAAATTTTAATCGAATTTCTAGAAAAATTTAATTATTTTTAAAAATTTTATTAAAATTCGTAAAAAAAATTCTTTATTAGAATTGAATTTTAAGAAACATTCAATTATTAAATAATTTTTTTTTTTTTTGTATTTAAATATTTGAATTCTAATAGAATTTTTTCATAAAAATTTATTTAAAAATGAATTTCAGTTAAAATTGTACATTATAATTAAATATTAAAAGAATTTTTATAAATATGGTAAAAGTGATTAAATTTTGGATAAATCAATGTATTTTTTAATACCCTACAAGATAGTTATAATAGTTTAATAGTTAAAGGAAAGTTTTCATACAAAAAAAGTTGAGAAAATATCATTTTCCACAATATTTTTGGGTTTTAAAATACCAATAATTTCAAAATTTATGATCGAATTAAGTTCAAAGATAGGTCAATCGAAGCATTTTTTAATGCTCTACAATGTTGGTAATATTAAATAATAATAATAATAATAGTAATAATAATAATAATAGTAATAATAATAATAATAATAATAATAATAATAATAATAATAATAATAATAATAATAATAATAATAATAATAATAATAATAATAATAATAATAATAATATGATAAAGAAACACATAAGTCTTTTTATGTTTTATACCTTCCTATTGATCGAATTTCTGTTTTATCAAATTACACATTCGAAAGGGAATCTTCTTTTCAATTTAATAAAAATAATAATAATAGTAATAGAAATAATAATAACGATTAGCGATAGTATTAATTATAATTATAATAGTAGAAATAATGACTATAATAGTAATAGTGGTAATAATGATAATTTTTATGATAAAAAGAATTATAAAGTCCCGCATATAATCCGAATAGGGCTTTCAAAATTAAAATAAACAGTTGCGATATTTATGTAGTAATCAAAATGTGCTGTTCACGTAATACGAATATGTCTCACATTATTATTTAAATATCGAATTTATTGACCAAATTGTGAAAAAAATTAATAATCAAAAGGGCATCCCAAAAAAAGTGGTATATAAGCCGAGGAACATCTTCAGCTAATCATCAGTTTCAGTTTCCTCCAATCGTGGAAAACATCTTCTCTCATTTCACCATGAAACAGGTGAGAGTCCTAACAAAATATTCATATTTCGTCATTTTCTATCTAAATATTCAATTTTCTCAAAATTTTACACATTATTGATGTTGAGTATTAATGTTTCTTTTCTTTTTTTACTTTTAAAGACTCTTTTTAACACAAAAGGTACGATTCACGAAATTTTCGCAATCACTGCAAAAAGAAGTAGCTTAAAATACACTGTAGTCATTTTTAAGATATTTAAAACATCTTATTTTTGGATCCTTCAACTTAAAGATCAATGCATTTTAAGATGTTTTTGATAACTTTTTCGAAACAAGTTAAAAGTGACTGCAGTAGTGTTTTAAAATTAGATGCCTTCTTTGTACAGTGTTTGCAAAACTTTTAGTGTAGCAAAGGCAGTTTTAGTGAGATTCGCAACACTTTCGAGTAGAAATTCAAAACAGTAGTATTTTTTGCATGAAACTAAAAAAAGTGGGTTATTATTTGTGGCGAAGGCGGACTTTCGGGGAAGTCCCGTCCATTGGGAGTTGGCCCCCAGTGGCGGGGACTTTGAAAGGAAGACCGCTTCGTTCTGCGTCGTTTTCGGCCGAAAGTGGCCGAAAACGAGGGAAAAGTTGTTTGGTGGAGTTTTAGTGGTTTTAATGGCCGTTGTTTGCCTTGCAGTTCGTAGTGTTGGCAGCGCTCGTGGCCGTGGCCTGCGCAGGCCTCCTGCCCCACCACAGCCACCACCAGCACCAGCACCGCGCCGCAGCCTCGAGGCGAGTGGACAACTCGTACTTGGCGCCGGCCGCCGAGTCCCGAGTGGACAACTCGTACTTGGCGCCAGTCGCCGAGTCCCGGGTGGAAAGCGCCTACTTGGCGCCCGCCGAGAGCCGCGTCGCCCCAGCCGCCGTCGAGGCCGTGCTCGTCAGCGAGAGGCTGCACGAGAACAACGGACTCGAGGGCTACTCGTACAGCTACGAAATCTCCGACGGACAGAAGAAGGAGGAGACCGCCGAACTGATCAACCAGGGAACCGACGAGGAGGCCATCGCCGTCCGCGGCAGCTTCGAGTGGGTCGACCCGCAGACCAACCAGCACTTCAAGGTCAACTACGTCGCCGACGAGAACGGCTTCCGCGCCGAGGGCGACCACATCCCCAGGGCCTAACTCTCACCAATCTGTAACCAATCTGCAACCAATCTGCAACCAAACGCCAAATGTCAATAAAACACCGCAAACTCTCCTCTTAAACCTATTTTGTTTCTGTTCGCCCTCTTCTTTTCTATTCCTCTTCATCCACTAACCAACTTTGACCATTTTACTCATTCTGCCTTCAATTTTGAGGTTAATTATCATTCCCAGCTTTTTAGGCCTAGAGAATGAAAAATTAGTTAGTTCTAATTCAAAACCTTCCAATTTTTTATTTCTCATAATAATTTCTTTTTAAAGAACTATCAAAAAATTATTACTTACCTTTAAGTTGTTTAATGAATAATTTTACTTATATATATTTCAAATTTAATTTTAAAAGAGTTGCGTTTACAATTTTCATAAATAGATGAAAACTTTAAAAGAAATTAGTTTGAAATTTGTTAAAGTTTCAATTTAGAATGCATTTAATTAGAAATTTTAAAGAACTTACATTTTTGAAACATTTTAATAACAGGGTTGCCACAGGTAAGGGAAATCAGGGAATTCAGGGAAAAGTCAGGGAAAATTGAATGGGTCAGGCAAGTCAGGGATTTTTATTAAAATACTGCGGAAAAAAATAATTGTGCACGATTCATAATTAGTTTTTTTTTATTTTTCAATATTACATTTAATTAATTATTAAAAATCATGGGTTTATAGAAAAATTTTAGTTAAAAACACTAAAAAAAAAAAAATTGTATTTTAGAGAAGTTACAAATGTTTGCAAAAATTCAATTTTGTTCAAAAATTAAAAAAAATTCCAGTCAAAATTTCAATTATCTTTAAAAATAATAAAATCCTTCTCCAAAATCCAATAAATTTTTATAAATAATAAACATTTCACAGAAATTCAACTATTTAGAAATTTTTTTATAAATTTTTTTGCAATAATTAAATTATTTTCATAAATAATAAAATTTTTTACGTAGATTCAATTATTTTCATGAATAATAAAACTAATCATAGAATTACAATTATTTTTAATACAATTTTAATTGAATTCCTCGAAAAATGTAATTATTCTTGAAAATTTTATTAAAATTCATCGAAAAAATTCGATAATTAAAAAATTTGTTGATAAAATTCTTTATGAGAATTCAATTTTGAAAAAAATTCATTTATTCAATAATTTTTTCATTTTTGTATTTTAATAATTGAATTCTCATAGAATTTTCTAATAAAAATTGTTTTAAAAATGAATTTCAGATAAAAAATTTTAAATAATTGATAATTGTTTATCTATTTTTTTCGAAGAATTTTAATAAAATTTTTTTAATTAATTCCATTTTTCGAAGAATTTACTTAAAATTTTATTAAAAATAATTGAAATCCTGTGAAGAATTTTTTTATTTAGGAAAATAATTGAAGTCTCTTGAGAAATTTTATTAAAATAGTAGATTTTAAAAATATTTGAATTTCAGCAAAGAAATTCATTATTTGTGAAATGTGATTGAATTCTTGCAAAAAAAAGTTTGAAAATAATTACATTTTTCGAGGAATTAATTTAAAATTGTATTGAAAATAATTTAAATCCTAGGAAAAATTTTTATTATTTATGATAATAATTGAATTCTTACAACGAATTTTATTTCATTTTTCTAAATAATTGAATTGATGTGATAAATTGTATTATTTATAAAAATAATTAAATTCTTGCGAAGGATTTTATTAAAATTTTTGTTAATAATTTAATTTTTTTTTTTTTTAAATTTTATAGAAATTTAAATTATTATAAAACATAAAGATAACGATTACTCTGAGTCGAAGACTCGGAGTGCTCGATATCTTCATGTTTTATAATAATATTCTTAAAAGTTATTGAATTTCAAAAGGTTTAAATTTGAGAATCAAAATATTCTTTTAGGTTAGGGAGAAAGTCAAAATTTTGTCTGGAAATCAGGGAAAAGTCAGGGAAAACGAAATTTAATTTTTTGTGGCAACCCTGAATAATTTAAATTTATTCTGAAATTATAGTTAAATTTGTTAATACATTAAATTAATTATCAAGAATAATAGATTTATAGCCGAATTTTATTTTAAAAACATTTTAAAAAATTAACTTTTGGACAAGTTATAAATAGAAATTCTATTATTTTTAAAAGTAATGAAATTCTTCGCTGAAATTCACTTTTTTTCAAAAGTATCCATCAATTCAATGATTTTCAATATCTGCCATTTTAATAAAAGTTTTCAAAAGAATTCAATTATATAAAAAAATTTTTATAAAATTCTACATAAACATTTAATTATTTTCATAAATAAAAATAATTTCACAGGAGTTTCATTATTTGAATGTTATAAAAATTTATTTTATTATAATTATTATTTATAATTATTTATTATTTATTATTTATCGAAAATCAATTTTTACAAGAGTAGCAGCCGGAGAAATACCTTAAAGGTAAGTAATAATTTTTTGATAGTTCTTTAAAAAGAAATTATTATGAGAAATAAAAAATTGGAAGGTTTTGAATTAGAACTAACTAATTTTTCATTCTCTAGGCCTAAAAAGCTGGGAATGATAATTAACCTCAAAATTGAAGGCAGAATGAGTAAAATGGTCAAAGTTGGTTAGTGGATGAAGAGGAATAGAAAAGAAGAGGGCGAACAGAAACAAAATAGGTTTAAGAGGAGAGTTTGCGGTGTTTTATTGACATTTGGCGTTTGGTTGCAGATTGGTTGCAGATTGGTTACAGATTGGTGAGAGTTAGGCCCTGGGGATGTGGTCGCCCTCGGCGCGGAAGCCGTTCTCGTCGGCGACGTAGTTGACCTTGAAGTGCTGGTTGGTCTGCGGGTCGACCCACTCGAAGCTGCCGCGGACGGCGATGGCCTCCTCGTCGGTTCCCTGGTTGATCAGTTCGGCGGTCTCCTCCTTCTTCTGTCCGTCGGAGATTTCGTAGCTGTACGAGTAGCCCTCGAGTCCGTTGTTCTCGTGCAGCCTCTCGCTGACGAGCACGGCCTCGACGGCGGCTGGGGCGACGCGGCTCTCGGCGGGCGCCAAGTAGGCGCTTTCCACCCGGGACTCGGCGACTGGCGCCAAGTACGAGTTGTCCACTCGGGACTCGGCGGCCGGCGCCAAGTACGAGTTGTCCACTCGCCTCGAGGCTGCGGCGCGGTGCTGGTGCTGGTGGTGGCTGTGGTGGGGCAGGAGGCCTGCGCAGGCCACGGCCACGAGCGCTGCGAACACTACGAACTGCAAGGCAAACAACGGCCATTAAAACCACTAAAACTCCACCAAACAACTTTTCCCTCGTTTTCGGCCACTTTCGGCCGAAAACGACGCAGAACGAAGCGGTCTTCCTTTCAAAGTCCCCGCCACTGGGGGCCAACTCCCAATGGACGGGACTTCCCCGAAAGTCCGCCTTCGCCACAAATAATAACCCACTTTTTTTAGTTTCATGCAAAAAATACTACTGTTTTGAATTTCTACTCGAAAGTGTTGCAAATCTCACTGAAACTGCCTTTGCTACACTAAAATTTTTGCAAACACTGTACAAAGAAGGCATCTAATTTTAAAACACTACTGCAGTCACTTTTAACTTGTTTCGCAAAAGTTATCAAAAACATCTTAAAATGCATTGAACTTTAAGATGGAGGATCTAAAAATAAGACGTTTTAAATATCTTAAAAATGACTACAATGTATTTTAAGATACTTCCTTCTGCAGTGAATGCGAAAATTTCGTGAATCGTACCTTCCGTATTAAAAAGAGTCTTTAAAAGTAAAAAAGAAAAGAAACATTAATACTCAACATCAATAATGTGTAAAATTTTGAGAAAATTGAATATTTAGATAGAAAATGACGAAATATGAATATTTTGTTAGGACTCTCACCTGTTTCATGGTGAAATGAGAGAAGATGTTTTCCACGATTGAAGGAAACTGAAACTGATGATTAGCTGAAGATGTTCCTCGGCTTATATACCACTTTTTTTGGGATGCCCTTTTGATTATTAATTTTTTTTCACAATTTGGTCAATAGATTCGATATTTAAATAATAATGTGAGACATATTCGTATTACGTGAACAGCACATTTTGATTACTACATAAATATCGCAACTGTTTATTTTAATTTTGAAAGCCCTATTCGGATTATATGCGGGACTTTATAATTCTTTTTATCATAAATATTGTCATTATTACCACTATTACTATTATGGTCATTATTTCTACTATTATAATTATAATTACTACTATCGCTAATCGTTATTATTATTTCTATTATTATTATTATTATTATTTTTCTCTAATATTTGTTATATTATATTATTATATTGTTTATTTTAATTTCGGGGCTGAAACCAGTGAAAGTATTCAAAAATACGGACTGACAAAAAGATAACCAGTCCGAGTTGGATAAGCAAACATTTTACTTAAAACTATAAATTAATTTTTTTCATAATTATAATTATTTAGGGAAAAGCAGACAGCAGTCGGACACTTTTCAATTTCGATTTTTTGAATAGCTATAAAACCGTATTCCAGATAGCACAAAAACTTCCAGGAAATTTCCAGGAAGTTTCCCACGGCAACTTCGGAAGTTACCTTTGGTAACTTCCTGGAAGCTTCTCCGGAATACAACAATGTCCGCCTCTGGAAACTTCCTTCGGAAGCTTCCTGGAAACTTCCTGGAAGTTTGCTGGAAACTCTCTTTGGAAACTTCTTTTTATTTACCCGTGTAAACTTCTTGGAAATTACCAAAGGTAGTTTCTTGGAAATTATCTAGAAATTTCCAAAACTTATTTTAATTTTTTTGTAGATAAATTTATTGTTTAAAAAGTTTTAAAAAATTAAGAGATTTTCATATTTTTCATTGACCTAAAATAAAAAATTGTATTGAATGAAAAAAAACGAAAATAATAATCTTAAACGTGCGAGGGTGAGCAGACTCGAACCTTTGTATAGCCTGATGGATAAGTCTAAAGGTATCAAGTCGGCTACCAAATCGCCACTTGCATCCAGATTTGAAAATGTAATATACACATTACCTATTGGATTCTTTCTACCAAGTATGTTTAATTTCTATTTTACCAATTGTAGTAACAGTTTTTTTGGTAAATGAGGTTATGTCATAGTTAAATGTTTACATCCTAATTTTAATTTACATATCAATTTTAATTTAAAAATTGTAGTGTCAGTTTTACAATTGCTTATATATTACGTGGAAATGAATGTTTATTTTTGAATTAGTGTTTTGTGGTGTTGGTGTTTGAGAATAATAAAGAAAAAAATTGCATCCTCATTTTAATAATCCTTATCATTATTTGTTTAAAGTTTATATCATACTTATTAATACGTTTTTTTATTATAGAAAATTTAGTAGACATTTTTATATATTTTGGAATGTTAAATTTAATTTATAAATTAAAGTACAATTTTTAATGCAAATCAATTGTGTGTAATTAATTTTTTTTTTTTAATCATTAATATATGTAAACTGAATTTTAATTTTTAAATAACATATTACATGCAGTTTTTATTTTTTATGAAATATGTAGGATTATATTTCGTGCCTTTTTACTAAACTATAAATTATTCACCAATATTTCCATTGTTCAAAAAATGGAAAAAAAATATATTTTTTAAATATTTTAAATAAAAAAACTGCTAAATTGTGCAAATTTTGTTTTTGAAATTTAAGTTTCATTTCGTTTCGTGTCGTGTCGGCTCGGAAATTAAGTCCAAAAAACTTAAATTTTTTTAAAATTTTAATTTAGATTTTTTAGTTTAGTTTTGAGTTAACACGAAACTATATTCCATTTATTAATATTTAGTTTCGAGTCGTCACAAAACTAAACTCAGCTTGTTAATTTACTTTTGTGACAACTCAGAAACTAAAACGAAACTAAACTTTCGTAATGGTCCCTGATTTATAATAATAAGAAATTTGAATTTTTCCATTATTTTTCAAAATTTTATTCTTTATATTTAATTAATGTTTATAAATATAAACATTAATTAAGATAGAGTTTTACAAATATTTTTAAATAACATCAATTTAAAAGCTTATTTACCACATAGTATATTAATATTAAATAAACTATTAATATTAAATTGAAAAAAATTTTTTTTTTGGTTTTTGCAGACAATATAGACAACTACTTATATTCCCAGTAATAAGGGGTGAATTAAAGTGGATTGGTACTTTTATGCCCTTAAATTCCAAACCAATTCCGTTTTTGTCCGCAATCTTAATGAATTCCTTTTCTATTGTTAAATTGATCATTTCTATCCAATTCAATTCTCTGTAACCACGTGACCAGAGTCTGAATTCACTTTAATGCCGTTTAAGGGAATCATTTTTGTGGAGTTAATGCCTTACTGGCCAAAATTTAATTATAGGTTTCGATTTAAATTATATTCAAAAATTTTCCACATTTCAACTGATTTTCAATATATTACTAATTTAATGAAATTTCCCAAAAGAATTCAATTATTTTACAAAAATTTTAATAAAATTGTAAGCAAACATTTAATTATTTTCATAAATAATAAAAATTTCACAGTAATTCAATATTATTTACAAATATTTTATGAATTTCTTCTCGCAATAATTCAATGATTTTCTTAAACAATAAAATTTTCTTTAGTAATTTAATTATTTTTATGAGTAAGAAAAATCATCGGCAGATATCAATTATTTTTAATATACAATAATTTAAATCGAATAAATACATATAGTTAATGACATTGTTCTTTCTCTTTAATAAAAAAAAAAGATAAATTTTCATTAAAACGTTAACAATTTTTTTTCAATTTAGTAAAGTCACGTTCTTCTTTATACTGATAAATTAACTTGTATATTTTGAAAATATACAATTATGTATTATCGTAAAACAAGTAGTTCAACAAAATAATTTAAAATATTTTTTTTAATTCAGATGTAAGATAATTAAATTTGAATTTTAAATAAACTTAAGGAGTGAAAAAAAATATCTTGAAACGTGACATCTATTTATCGTTATTTATAATACATTAAAAGTAAAAATTCAATTTTTTTGATAAGAGAAAAAGTAAAAAGTTTGAAAATACAATTTTTAATCAATTTTAAAATTACCTTTATTATTTGATAGTCATATTATCATGGCAATATATAAGAAGGTTAACAAAATTTTTTTGTCAAAGCTATTGCAAGACTAAAGTTATAAACAAGTGTTATAAAATGGCGATTAATAATTGGTCCATTTTTTTCTTGTTTTTCAGTTATTTATTTACTTTTACATTATGTCAAAGTGTATTAACACGAAAAGAGCACATAATAAAAATTGATGATAAAGATGCTGACGATGTAAACGCAATGGCTCAAAATGTGACAAAAGAAAAGGTAAGAAATTAAAATATTATTAAATTGCTTTTTTTCATTATTTATAATTTTTTGAAATTGAAATTTCTTTTTTAATTTTATAAGTTATAAAAATGTACTAATATATATATATATATATATATATATATATATATATATATTTTAATAGTAATTAATAATATTTCAGTGGTATGAAAAAACGATACAAAATAGTAAAAAAAAATTGGAAGTTATTGATAAAATTGTTAAAATATTGAAACTAAAATTGGAGAAAGCTTGTTGTTCTGTAAATAAAATTGACCTTAATATCACTGATGACATTTCTTTATTTGAAAATTTGAATTTAATTACATTGGATTTGGAACATAATCCCATAAAATCAAATGGATATGGTATCGCAAAAGTGGAAAGGACAATACAAGATAATCTAAAGTCAACTGAAAGTACAAAGGATTATTGTGAATTAACGTACGATAATTGTATAAATAACGATAAAAATTTAGAAAAGAGGAAAAATATGTTCGGATTTGTTATTTTAATTCGTTACTTAATACAAAAGTTCATTGACGACTTAGAAACATCAGAAAATACTAAAAGTTGGCCCAATCTGGATATTAAGAATTTTGAAGTAAAAATATCGAAAGTGTCTAATTTCACAAATAAAGCTGTAAACGATCCCAATTTCCTTGAATCTTTAAAAGCTATAAATTATCAACTGATTGAATTTATAGAGACTGTAAGTAAAATAGCAGTAACTTTATTATTTTTTCCGCCCTTTTTTGTTAAGAAGATTTTGTTTCTAAATAAATTTTAATTTCCAGGTGGAGGACATAAAAAGCAAAGAAAATATTAACAATTTTCTTAAAAATTCAGTGAAAATTATGGATAATATTTTAAATACACTGAAATTATATAAGGAAGTCGTTAATTGTTACAATATAAGTGCTGAAAATTTAATACTAATTAATAACCATTTTGATTCTTATCGTAACAACACAAATATTCTTCACTTCATAGCTAATTTAGGTTCTTTTCTAATTGATCCAAGGACAAAAAGTATTGTTGAAAATGTTAAAGATGTAACAAGTAGGAATGCACTAACAGAAAATATTAATCAACTATTTTTTAATTTAAAAAAACAAAAGGTGATAATTGTCAAATGAACGAATCATCATCATCAGAAAATAATCCACAATATAAATTTGCCAAAACTTTACACAAGTTTTTTGAACTTATTAAAGAAATGATTGTTGAAAAGAAAAATTTATTGCAAGATAGTCCGGAATTAATATATTTCAATCAACCTGACTATTTGCATTTAAATCGAAAAATAGGTTTTGTTGTAGATTTATTAAAGGACGATAATATAAAAATCATGTTTCCGAAGGAATTTGGCGATTCTGCGAAAATGCTCAAACTTTATCAACAGGTAAATAATAAATCCACATAGAATCAGGAGAATTTCATCAAAACTCAAATTGGCGGCAATTTTATTGTTATTTTAAAGACCACAATTTTCTAAGTCAGCTAATTTCGATTAAGAGGAAATTCTCCCTTCTTTATTATAGAATGTATAAAAAAAATTATTTTTACTATTTATATTTTATAATTATTTTTATTAACAATTAATATTATTATTTCATTTACAGTTGCAAAATATTCAGTTTCTTGATATGAGAAGAAAGATGTTTAAAATTATTATGAGTTTGATTAACGACAAATACTTTCAACTTTCTATATATATACAAAATTGCGGTGATAGACATTTAGCGATACAAGAGTACATGGAATATGTTCATGAAAATGTACTTGATATAGAAAAAATTTTAGAAGAAAATAAAATTGAAGATATTAAAGAGACATTAACATCAGTTCTTGCAAATACTGAAAATGTATCTAAATCTCAATTGTCAAGTGGGCAAACTCAAAACTGCAATTCTTCAAATAATGAACTTGGTGTGACTATTAAGAACACTACAAATTCAATTAATGAAAATATTCTAAGATTTTTAAAAAATAACGTAAATGGCTTAGCAAAGAACAAAAATTTAAGTGATTCCATTCAAAACTTTGAATCTATTATAAAAGTTTCAAAAGACAAATTAAACCAAGTTGAAGACGTTGAACTAGAGAGAATTTTACAAGAAACGCTGAGTAGTATTACAATAGTATCATCAATAACATTTGACGAACCAAAGGTAGGAGAACAAATATATAAGATCTTTAAATTATGAAAAAAGAAAATATTTTTTGAAAATAATAAATAAATATAGTAATTAAATAACTCAATGATTAACATTTCATTACATTAAATTTTTCATTCTGCTCTTAACTTATTTCAGAAACAAGATGTGAAACAAAATCTTAAGAAACAAAACGATTTATATTTAATGATTAGGAAAGGTTTAAATTTTTTAGTTGAATGTTATAGAAATATTTCAGAAGCAAAAATATCGAATCCGAATTTAAAAGACAAAAATCATTTTAATTTAATTTATTTTATTTTCGAACGTACTGTGAGTTTAAAGAGAGCTGATCAATCTAGCAAATATGCTATTAAAGAATCACTTGATCAGCTGATAAACAATACAGATTGCAATGATAATAATAGTAAAAATACGAAAATAAGTAAATTATTATTTGTAAATTTCGATGCATACAATTGTCTTTTACCGGAAGAATTCAACAAAAATATTACTACTGATCATATCAATGATTTTATTAATCACTTGTCAAGCGTAGTGCGCGGTAACGGAAAAAAATACTTTACTGAAGAAAACATTGGTTCACTTCAAATAAAAGCATTTGAGAATGTTTTGAAGAGTGAAAAAAGTAGGTTAGAAAAAGAAGATTTGACAAACATTGAGGTAATTCTTTTGTTTTTAAGCATACTTTTTAAAAAAATTTTCAAATACACTCAAACGCTCTTGTATGCTCTTTTTCCTGTCTGACGTATAATTTTGAAAAGACGTGTCATTTCGGTCAAACATTCGTACGTCACGAACTAAGAATATTTGATAGAAATTACACGACTTTTCAACATTCCGTCAAACCAGAAGGACAGCATATGTGTACAACTTCATACTGGAAATCGTTAGATTATGATTAAATTATTGAAAGTAATTGTTCATTTCTTTTAAACAGATGTTTAATAAATCAATTTCGATTATCAACATTGTTCAAGACATTGGAAATGAAGCGAAAATAATTAACAAAAATTTTTACGAACGATTAATTTGCAATGCAACTTACAAAAATGATAGTCTTTTGGATATTCACGAAGCTTCTCTACAATCCTTCACTATAATGCTAGACAGTCTCAAAATATCACATACAATCATCGATACAAATTCACCAGAAACAGTTGATTATTTAAAAAAAAATCTAACTGATCTTCATGATAAAATTCGTAATATAACTTCCAAATTAACAGCACATTGTGATACTGACAAAATAACAACAAATGACAATAATTTAAGTGTTAAATTTGGTAAGGATCTTGAACGCATTACAAAATACGTAGAAGAAAAACTGAAAAATGATCTCTTTAAAGAAAAATGGCGATGTTCTAATAGAGAAAATGCTAAAAGATTTCTAAAATATTTAATAGAAGTGCAAAGTAAAATGATACTTATTATTGAGACTATTAAAAAGGAAGATATAATTACGATTTCAACTTCCGATTATAATCAAACTAAAAACATTTCTAACCAAATTGAACATAAAGAAACTGATAAAATTCCAGAAGAGACAGGAGAAACAACGACAAGAAGAGTAATATTTTTATTATATAATTTTGTGAATAAATATATAAAGTATAAATAAAAAAATTATAATCTTATATTTTTATTTTTTTTAAACTTTTATAGGAACTTTTATAGGAATAAATTTTATTTATTTTATTACAATTACAATGATATTGTTTTATTTTCAAACATTTTTTTAAATCAACAGAAACCAAGTGACTCTGAACCAGCACCAAAAGTTTTCAAAGCACCAGAAGAAATAACGAAAAGTCCCTCGCCAGATGTAAGAACTTTAATTATTAAATTATATTTATATTATTCTAATTTCTATTATTTGAAATTTTTTTAAATTAACAGAAACCGATTTCTATATTGTATTTAAAAATTTTGATAATTAACAGACACCGACATTGGATACAATAGATCGACTGCCGGATACCCAAATAATTGAGGCAAATTTGTCAGAAATAGAGAAGAGACCAATGACAGATGTAAGATTATAGTGATTTCGTATTTTTAGATCAAGAAAATTGATAATATCGCCGGGGCTACTGTAATAACAAATAATATTTTTTCAGAATCAAATATCATCCAGTTGTAATTATTTGAAAATTTATTATGGAAAATGTATTTCAAGCGATGAAGAAGATGAAGAAGAAGAAGAAGAAGAAGATGATGATGATGATGATGATGATGATGATGATGATGATGATGATGATGATGATGATGATAGTGAAGAAGACGATAGTGATTCTGATTCTGATGATGACGAATACGACTATGAGTCTTCTGAAGATTCATTTAGCGATTGGGATATAAAGCTATAAGCTACTATTCTGCATACTATTCATAATATTTTATTTAACCAAAACTTAAAAATTTTGACAAAAACGCTAAAACAATAATAATAATAAATTTAGGATGACCACCAATAAACAGGTCTAGGAGCTAGGAGCTTTCTTCTTAGGGATTACATCAGCGCATGCCTTATAGATTATTCCCATTGTAATCTCAGTCAATACTTCAGATCTTACTGTTGATAACGGTTTGCCTAAGGCTCTCTCTACGGCACATTGTCTATGGTTTAGAGCCAGGGTTAGTTCCTCAAAGTTAATTTTTTCCATATTCCACCTTTCTGATGCCTTTATGTTTTGTTTTTGTGATGCCTGGATATTTCTTACATTAAACTTTATATATTGATGGTCACTATACCTGTGAAGTCCTCCATCACTTGACAGTTTTCTGTTCTAGCTGCGAGGTCTTCATTAGCAAATGTGAAATCAATGAAATTTTTAAAAATATTAATTAATTTAATTACATAAAATTTGTGCAAATACCCTTGCACAAAATAGTATAGCCATCCTTAACAATGGAGATATTCTATTGTTATATTGACACAGACTTTAATTAATCTCATAATTCCAAGAAAATTTGGTAAACTGGTTTTAATTTTTAAACTACCAGGTAATTAATGTAGTGTAATGTTTTTTGCAAGAAATAAATAAAATATACATTCATAAAAATATCCATTTTATTTAAATTCCATATTGCATATTTTGCAAAATAAGATTAATTTTCCAATATAAAATTTTACGTGTTCCAAAAAAATAAACATATACTCAATGACATTGTTCTTTCTCTTTATTAAAAATAAAATTAATTTTCATTGAAATGTTTATCTTTATAAATAATTTAAACAACTTAAGAAAATTTTAAATAATTTTTAATGTAAAACAACTAATCAAGTGTATTGATTAATCAAAACAATTAGTTCAACAAAACAATTTTAAACTGTTTTTAATTCAGATGTAAGAATTAAATTATATTAATTATATATATTTGAATTTTAAATAAACTTAAGGAATAAAAACAAAAATATCTTTTTAATTGAATATCATGTCTTAATTTTATTCCTTAAGCTCTAGGCCTAAAAAGCTGGGAATGACAAGTAACCTCAAAATTGAAGTCAGAATGAGTAAAATGGTCAAAGTTGGTTAGTGGATGAAGAGGAATAGAAGAGAAGAGGGCGAACAGAAACAAAATAGGTTTAAGAGGAGAGTTTGCGGTGTTTTATTGACATTTGGCGTTTGGTTGCAGATTGGTTGCAGATTGGTTACAGATTGGTGAGAGTTAGGCCCTGGGGATGTGGTCGCCCTCGGCGCGGAAGCCGTTCTCGTCGGCGACGTAGTTGACCTTGAAGTGCTGGTTGGTCTGCGGGTCGACCCACTCGAAGCTGCCGCGGACGGCGATGGCCTCCTCGTCGGTTCCCTGGTTGATCAGTTCGGCGGTCTCCTCCTTCTTCTGTCCGTCGGAGATTTCGTAGCTGTACGAGTAGCCCTCGAGTCCGTTGTTCTCGTGCAGCCTCTCGCTGACGAGCACGGCCTCGACGGCGGCTGGGGCGACGCGGCTCTCGGCGGGCGCCAAGTAGGCGCTTTCCACCCGGGACTCGGCGACTGGCGCCAAGTACGAGTTGTCCACTCGGGACTCGGCGGCCGGCGCCAAGTACGAGTTGTCCACTCGCCTCGAGGCTGCGGCGCGGTGCTGGTGCTGGTGGTGGCTGTGGTGGGGCAGGAGGCCTGCGCAGGCCACGGCCACGAGCGCTGCCAACACTACGAACTGCAAGGCAAACAACGGCCATTAAAACCACTAAAACTCCACCAAACAACTTTTCCCTCGTTTTCGGCCGAAACTTCGGCCTTTGCAACACTTCCGGCCACTTTCGGCCGAAAACAGCGCAGAACGAAGCGGTCTTCCTTTCAAAGTCCCCGCCACTGGGGCCAACTCCCAATGGACGGGACTTCCCCGAAAGTCCGCCTTCGCCACAAATAATAACCCACTTTTTTTAGTTACATGCAAAAAATACTACTGTTTTGAATTTCTACTCGAAAGTGTTGCAAATCTCACTGAAACTGCCTTTGCTACACTAAAATTTTTGCAAACACTGTACAAAGAAGGCATCTAATTTTAAAACACTACTGCAGTCACTTTTAACTTGTTTCGAAAAAGTTATCAAAAACATCTTAAAATGCATTGATCTTTAAGTTGAAGGATCTAAAAATAAGACGTTTTAAATATCTTAAAAATGACTACAGTGTATTTTAAGCTACTTCCTTCTGCAGTGAATGCGAAAATTTCGTGAATCGTACCTTCCGTATTAAAAAGAGTCTTTAAAAGTAAAAAAAGAAAAGAAACATTAATACTCAACATCAATAATGTGTAAAATTTTGAGAAAATTGAATATTTAGATAGAAAATGACGAAATATGAATATTTTGTTAGGACTCTCACCTGTTTCATGGTGAAATGAGAGAAGATGTTTTCCACGATTTGAGGAAACTGAAACTGATGATTAGCTAAAGATGTTCCTCGGCTTATATACCACTTTTTTTGGGATGCCCTTTAGATTATTAATTTCCAAATTTAGTCAATAGAGGATGATAGTTAAATAATAATGAGACATATATTCGTATTACGTGAACAGAACATTTTGATTACTACATAAATATCGCAACTGTTTATTTTAATTTTGAAAGCCCTTTTCGGATTATATGCGGGACTTTATAATTCTTTTTATGATAAAAATTATCATTATTACCACTATTACTATTATAGTCATTATTTTTACTACTACTACTACTACTAATACTACAATTATTATCACTACTATCGCTAATCGCTATTATTATTATTTTTCTTTTTAATATTTATTATTATATATTTTTTTTAAATATTTATTATTATATTATTTATTATAATTTATATTTATATTATTATTATTATTATTATTATTATTATTATTATTATTATTTTTTTTTTTTTTTTTATTAATATTAATATTTACACTGTCTTTTTTTTAATTAGAAATTTTAAAGAACATAAATTAATAATGGATATAATGAATAATGGATTTATAGCATAATTTTTGATAAAACATTTTAAAAATTTTGAATTTTGAAGAAATTACAATTGCGATTTCAGAAATTTAATTATTTTCAAAAATTTTAATAAGTTTTTCCAAAAAAATTCAATTATTTAAAGAAATTGATAAAATTCTACGCAAACATTTAATTATTTTTACAAAAAATAAAAAGTTTACAGGAATTTAATTATTTAAAAAATTTTTTTAATATATTTCTTAGCAATAATTCAACTATTTTTATAAATAACAAATAACTTTTCAGAGGAATTCAATTATTTTCATCAATAATAAAATTATTTTTAGGAATTCAATTATTATTTCAATTTAATAAATAATGAAACTCATCGCAGAATTTCAATTATTTTTAATATACAATTTCAATGAAATTCCACGAAAAATGTAACTATTCTTAAAAATTATATTAAAATTTGTCAAAAGAATTCAATTATTTAAAAATTTGTTGATAAAATTCTTTATGAGAATTCAATTTTGAAAATCATTCAACTATTCAAAAAATTTTTATTTTTGTATTTAAATAATTGAATCCTCGTAGAATTTTTTTTTAGAAAGCCTCGAATAATAGTTTTCGACTCTAATTTCGGGGACCTGGAGTGCGTCACAATAAAAAAAATACAAAATTCAGTCACATTTGCGTCTCTAAAAGCCTCGACGCTAATTTTGGACCCGTAAGGTGCGTCACATTAAAAAAAAAAAAAAAAAAAAAAAAAAAAAAAAAATTCCTAATAATATTAACTGATTGATAGAAGATGAGAATTAGAAAAAAAATGTCGAATTAGATATTAATTCCGTGTGATAAAATTATTCAAAACGATTGCCTTCCACATGTCGCACACCATAATGACGCTATCGACGATGACCTATGATTTTACAATTTTACACTTTCTCCTTGAAAATCGAGACACGAAGGAGACACATTAAAGTGACTTTTTTTTTTTAATAGGGATTTTTCGTTTTCTCTCTCAGTCACTCATGTGTCTGTAGGAGATTGGCCTCGAAAATGCGAAAAATCTCGTAAGAACCAATCAAGTATTTCGATCTCCTTTGGAGATGAGTCAAAAGAGAACGACATTAATGGAGGGAATTTCTGGGAAACGAATCTCGTTAGGTAAATTCTTATGCAACTGGATGACACTCTCGCTTTCGGATAGAGGCACTAGATATCCAATCATCAAGGTTTCGTTTCAAACTCTTTTTTTCCTTTTCTTTACCGTCACCTAGGCAACTGAATCGAAAACCTTTTTTCATTATTTCGCATTTTTATTATTTTTTTTTTCTTTTTTAAAAAAAAAATGGAAAATCGACTTTGAACTATTATTAATATTAATAATATTATTAATATAAAAAAATATTTTCAAAAATTATAATCAAATTCTTTAAAAAGATTCAATTATTATTTTGAAAAAATATTCGAAATTCAATTATTTTCAACATCTCGCATTTTCGCTAGATTTCGCAAAAAAATTTAATTATTTAAAAAAAATCAATAAAATACATCCAAAATTCAATTATTTTCATAAAATTTCCACAGGAATTCACATAGTTTAAAATAGCGTTTTCAAAAAAATTTCAAAAAAATCAATTATTTAACAAATATTTCATACAATTCTTAACAATAATTCGATTACTTTCACTAATAATAACATTTTTCGTGAAAATTCAATTTTATAAAAAAAAAAATTGTTAATAAAACTCTTCCCAATAATTCAATTATTTTCATGAATAATAATACTCATCGAAAAATATAAATTATTTTTAATACTTTTTTCAATTAATTATACGATAATTTCAATTATTTTCACAAATAAAATTTTCCACAAGAATTCAATTATTTAAAATAAAATTTTCATAATATTTATTCTATTTTGAAACAATTAATTATTCAAAACAATGTTTATAAAA